ACTAGAAATCTTGCTCCAATCGAAAAACAACGAGAAAACTTTAATTTTTTTAGAATTGTTTTATCTATTTGGCGTATTTAACTAACAAATTGACAGCGATAGCGATTATTTAAAATTTGTATTTATTTTGTTTTTATTAATCTTGCACTATACATTTCAAGAGCAGAATATTTCTGAAAAAATATTATCCAGTTGTTGCATAAGAAGATTGATTTTTGATTTTCTTTATTATCTTCAAAATCACAATAATTAGAAAAAAATTAAACAGTTTCCGTTTTATTTTGTTTTATTTTGTTTTTTTTTTTTTTTTTTTTACGTAGGTATAGAACTCGCGGTAAGCGGCATTGTACGCAGGTGTATTTCGAATAATGGTGGCTCGAGAGCCAAGTTATATTCACAATAAGATCAATATCGACTATATATATTATACGGTTAAATAATAATTTATGTCGAGTCGTATGGCAATGGCAGTACAGCTCTCGATTTGAAGGGAAAAAACCCGCGAGGAAATGCGACGACGACAGCGACGTCCCGGCGTAATATTATATTATGTCGTACCTACAAATAGACGAATTCTCCTGTAAATTATTCTAAAGCGAAAGGAAATGCGATCCCGGGAAATTACGTTTAGGATATCGCGCGTACACACACACACACACACACACCCTACAACATAATAATATACGCGAGCATACGAGATGGTGATTGGAATATAATATTCCGCCGAAGTAAAATATGTAGGTATTTACGGACTGCGCGAATCGAATTTGTGTCTTTTCCGGAAATACCTGTAGCTATAATATTAGCAACTATATTCCCTACGAAATTGTAAAATCAAGTCGCGAAAATCGGGATTCCGCCCACAGTACACGAATAGTTTTGGAAAATGTATTTCGTCCAGAAGTCAATATCCCAACGGTAGTATAGCATGATTTATTCTACGCTAAAATGAAAATAGATTTCCATTTGTTTATAAGATAAAGTGGCGAATAGAGAAAGAGCAAAAATGAACAAAAGGCGTTTATTTCAAAGTACAAATATAATATTATAGACGTAAAGGACGTTAATAGAACACGGATGGCCATGTTGGACGTGGTAAACCGAAAAGATGCGGTACGGGAAACAAAATAACTATAAAGACTTAGATACAGATTTAAAGGAATTAAGTTGTGAAAGGGTGGCGCGGATGTCTACGCCAAACCAATCGGATGATTGATCAACAACAACTGATATTGTATAGTTCCGTATTGTACTGATACTGCACGACTCGAACTACAAATCAGTCAGTATCCAATCCCCATACAAGTCTATTATCTTAAGTATTTAAAGCAAAATAACTCAGAAAAGTTTCGTTCAAATTTCGTTTACAATAAAATAACATTTCTAAAAACATCGTCCGCGATTAAGAAATTGTACTAAAACATAAAGGTTCTCATTTAAAAAACCAAAATTGCTATCGCCACAGGATAAAAATTTAAAACAATCCTACTCAAATGTTATGAAAATCTAAGTATGCGAAAATATTGTCGTTTTAATTTTCATTTATGTACAATTTACCCATTAATATGGGGGTGGGAATGCTTAAAACTCACATATATTATAAAATATTAAAATAGTTGTAAAACTATTAATTAAATAATAGGTCTTAAAAAATGATATTTATCCTTCCCGTGACAAAAACATTTGATCACCACTGTATTTACAGGTACGTTTGCCTTCATCGTGTATCAAACCAACACAATAATAATGATACGTCTTTGAAACCTATTCGGAATAAACTCCGACGATCTAACGTCAAATGCCGGTCAATCGTGACTTCGGACATTATACAGATGGTTGTTTTCGTCGATATTATTATCGAGGATCGTGTAAAATATTGATTTTTTACAAAACGTGTCCCGCGTATACAGTCGAACGAGATTTCCTGTTAATAGACAAATATTCCTGAAGACATACTATAGTTTTATCACTCGATTTATATCATTTATATTATTTTATACTCAGTTATACCTAATGGGTTAACTAAATAATGAGATAACCATAACAACTTTTCTTTCCAAAATAAAACTTGACATTAACTTTCTTGTAGTATATTTGATTTTGTCAATGTGATCGTTTTTCGATTTTCTTTATGTTTTTCTAAATAAACTTTCGTTAAGAAAATATATAACGCACGCGTAATTATTCTATCATAATAAAGCATATATTTTGTACTGTTGACAAAGCGACACTATTGACCGAACTCCTCTAAGAATCGTTTTTTTCGTTAGCACACGGATATACATGGAATTTATCCTCTACTGCCTTCCCGACTTTTCACCAATAACAGTGCACACCCGCGAAGTATGCCAGTCATTTTTTTTTTATTTCATCCGGTATAATATTTGTATATCATAATGAGGTTCGAGAGGAGCGCGAAAAAGAAAAATAATAAAACCTTTTCGGGCCGCAACCTGGTGACGCGACGACGGCCGCGGCTGCAGCGGCAGCAGCAGTCGAGTGGGCGAAAACGTTAAACGGGCTTTGGGAAAATATAATTGAAACGAATGGTTTTCAGCGCCGCCGGTCTCGTAAATAACGATTAAGCGGTCAGCATTGCATGCCCGACCCCCGAACCGACGACGGCGCCTATTAAATCATATTATTATTATTATTATTATTGCGACGGTGCAAAGGAACGGAGCCCGGCGTACGGCCGGTTCGCGTATTAGAATTCTAGGATCCGTTTCGACCCCGAGGCGATTCCGGTCGCACGATTCAAACGTGCAGCGCGCTTGGTTTTACAACCGTCCGTGCGGTTTGTGTTGGAAAAACATTTACGCGTCGTTCGAAACCGTTCCCGCTGCAATCGGACAATTATTTTTCGGCAAAAACCGGTATTTTTCCGTCCCTCCCGAAAGCGAGTCGATACGCGGTCACAACAATTGTGATTCGGGCCGACGCTGTACTGCTAATATGTCCGTATATGATGCCAGTCGAACGGGAGAGTGGAAAGCGTTCTTAATGTCTTCGTATTTATTATTCGCTCGGTAAACGGTTCGCTTGCTGTTTATCCGGCAGGTTTTCAATGAGTTCTGCTAACAACCGCAATGAATATCTTGGTCGAAAGTTATGTGATCAATAATTAATCGCCCATTATATTATGTAGCGGTTTGGCCAGTGTTCGATTTGTGTGTTGAAAAATGCAACAGACGGTTATCATTTGCCATCTCCGCCCCTATATACTTGTTTCTCCTGGCCACGGGATCTACGAATTAAAGTAAGAGGAAAGGGGGGGATTAAAAAAAAAATAACGCGCACGTCTATGGAATCTAACGCGTTTCTTCGCTGTTCCCCTCTTTACGGTTATAACTATTTGAGTTTTCGAAAATGCTATAGTTTGTTTGGCATGAACTGCAGCTATAACTTGATTTTTTCTAAATCGATCTTCGCGTATTTTATGCCGTACAGACATAGGATGTCAACAAATTGTACGCGTGATGACTATAGAAAAATATTACACAAAAAATTTACTGCTACTAAATTTTTGGGCGAATATTTTAATTGCCCATACGTCGAAAGTAAATTGCCTCCGCGGATTCAACCGCACTTATCCAAATGAATAATATTTTTATTTTTTTTACCAGTTCACAACAATATTTTAACAACAATACGTACAAATCCTGTTTTTTTTTCAACCGAATATAATAAAAGCACAATAGCTGAGAATCAACGTTTCGTTTAAAATATTTTTTATTTCTTCTATAAAAAACTCAGGGTATTATCGGTCACTATTAAACTGACCCACGCCCGTTACACACCTAATTCTTTAATTCTTAACATCTGTTACTTTAATTTTCCAGTCTGGATTTTTCACTGTTCATGAAAATTCTTTCTTCTTCAAATTTTCACCAATCAAACGGCGTTTTCCAAAAAGCTTCTATTTCTTCCAGCTCACTGTAATTTTCCACTTTTGATTGAACGCGATACCGTTTTAGATTTTAATTGTATCGTATTGGTTTTGTATTGGTTTTTATTTCTGATGTTCAAATAAAAAAAAAAAAAATATAGAACAAATAAAAATATCTACAATCCATTTATCTATCTTTCGATAAAATTAAAATTTTCAATAAGCGTGTAATCGAATTTTATTGTTCAATATATTATTTGGTGCTTGAGCAGCAATTTCATGTTTTAACGAATTTTTAGATACCCAACAAATATTAAGTTTGCTTTATGTTTTCTAAAAACTTATATATTTTCAAAATGAACAATCTTTTAAGGAAAGCAATGATGTTAAAATATTTACATTTTTTATGAAATGTTAAGTTTTACCGAACCCCGTGATTATTACAAACGATGTTCCCGGAAAACGAGAAGCTGTTATTAAATAATAATTTTTCTCGAGAACGGGACGAAACAAGAACGTAGACGTATTATATCTGGCTTAGGGTCATTCAAAAGTATTTAAACAAGACAAATGAAATTTAATACAAGCGTATAACAAAAACTGTTCGGGTTTTAGAGTTTAAACATTTTTTCTGTTCATATTATAACTATTTGCATTTTTTTGTTATTTGTAAAGATAATTAAGCGTGATAACAGACGCTACCGATTCGGATAAAATGCGTATAAGTAGCGATATAAGTTGGTAATTATTATTCAAAACACAGTCATGGATATTATATTCATGTATTGGACAAGTAAGCTAAACCAAAATAACGTATTAAACGCATATAAACGTATTTATCACGTTAAAAAACCAAGGGTCAGACATTCGAGCAAATAAAATAAAAAAATCTTAACCAATTAGTCCATTGAAGAAAACACGACCGCAGAGAAACTATACTCACGCCGCCATATTGAACGGACCGACATCCTAGGATATTATTAGGAAAAAGAGTAAGAATAACAATGCCATATCACGCTCGAATCTCTAAATGATACGCTTGGTTTAGATCACCAAATTAAGATAAAATGCGAATGGCTCCGGAAAAACGTATCGGAATCATATTGTTTTAGGAAAAATAATAATTTAATTTTCAGGAAGAACATTCATTTTCACAATGATTCAAAATTATTCGCACTGTTAATAGATGCGGATTTTTCGACTGGTGGTATTTTATAATTAAACACATTTACTAGATTACTAACATTTTGACTAAAAAAATTGTAAAAACTGACAACGAAACATGAGGATATGTCAGTGTTTTAGATTAATTTAGAACCCGCGTAAAAAATACGATGTACCCTGTAACCTTATCGAGTTACTAAATTTTTTTCAGAATCGTTTTATGATTGCAAAGCTTCTTGTGTAAAAAATAAATTCTTGAATACCTACCTATAACAGTGCCTATATCCGCCCGTACATAGTCCGAAGTATATTTAGCTTTTAATTTATTATTTTTTTATAATAAAAACGACAATGTTAAATTCACATTCGCTCTCAAAAGCTATATACCGAATAATGTATCAGAGAAACGCTCATTTGAACTTTTTGTGCCGTCTTCGATTTTTTTTTACTGCAGTGTTTTGTTCTCTGCGTGACGGAGATATTAGAAAAAAAAAAACGCCTGAGTGTTCAATTACCCATCTCCTGAAAAGTTTTATAGGTACATGTTGCATGTTCCACACCCTACAACTTTTTAAACGTTTTAACCATCTCCATTAAAGGGGTTTGACGACGATAGTGGGTATGGAAAGAATACACCGTTGTGGAACTAATAGCTTCTCGGTAAGTATATACAACTATACATAAATAAACGAATTTTCTTTTTTTCTAAACTTTTATTGCGATGAATATACAAGTATATTACCATGATATAATGTTCCATATAAGAATTTATTAATTAGATTAAAATCATTTGATGCCCTTGATATTAAATTTCCAAACGTTTTAGTTGTGCCAAAACAATAATCTTATCCACACAAAACCAAATTAAAACAATTTAAAATGGCAGTAGGAATGACTAAATACATTGTCAGAATTTGTCATCGCGTCTAGACGGAGTTAAATGAAAATCTATAATAACGAAAACAGTTTTTGCGCAAATTTTCCGATTTTCGATAAGTTTTTCTCCCAACTATTGGGAAAACTACTAGAGAAAAATATCTGTAAAAACTCGGCCTAATATAATTTGTTTTCAGAAAAGATGCTACACTTAATGATCGGATCAAGATTTCTGGTATGAAATTTTTTCACAGACAAAAAAGAAAACCACACATCATGGTAAAACCAATACATCCCTCGCTGCCCTCCGTATCAAAAAAAAAAAAAGAAAAAAGAAAAACGCGTAGGTTTTTGTAAATCATCATCAATTACCGTTAACTATACGCTGCTGTCCGTATAAACAATCAGTTAACGTCGTCGTCGTCGTCACGGTTCGCATCAATATGTATCTCGTCGTGTCGCCTCTCGAGGGAAAACGAAAAATAACCCCAATAAACATAATATATATAAAATGAATTTATCCAATAAAACCCGCTTTTATATGCTGTTAAAAACGATTTCCATCGCATTATTGCTGCTGCTGTAGTACACTTCAGATTATTAACGATAAGATCGAATTACTACAGAATTCAAGCCAAGGAACTTTTTTTAAACTTTTCTAGCTCCATACATAAAATGTTTTCATTGGTTCTAATGCATATCGGCTATATAGTAAAATTAAGATTAATTGTCTGTGTACCGTGGGCGTGCCATCGGCGATTATCATTTCAATTATAAGTGATTCGTTGGCTTCAGTGGAAAGTAGACCATTTTGGATTCCCAGCGTAGCGAGTGAAATATTGGTTTTACAATGCTGTTTATTTTTACGTGGAGCAATTTTACTATAAGCTCAAGTTGTCTAAATTGTACTTTAAAGGGGTCATATTTTGATTTTCGATGTCATTTTCTAAATAAAACCATTTAAATGGAAACGTACAATTTTACGATTTCATTATTTAATAAAAACACGGTGACGTTTTCTACCAGCAAAAATGATTTAATTTGAAAAAAACAAAATAAGTTTTGTATTGCTTTTTTCATTTACTTTCTAACGGTATCATCGCCAAAACGTTTCGCCACATTTAAGCTTTTAAGGAATTTTAATTTTTGGGATTTTTTTTGTTGTAATTCGGTTATAAATACACATAGAGACTTGAAACTTGGTAATAATACTTATATTATACTTACCTAGACTTGGTAAAATTTCCAAAATCATATATTATAACTAAAGCATATATAAAGTAAGGTTGCGATTTTAAAATCGGATAAAATCATTGTGAAGGGTAAAAAATGACGTATACAACTAATACATTGTAATATTAATTGAAAAGAGTTTCGTACAGTATACAATATATACATAAAGCTTTCAAAAACTACACGTTTACTTCTATTTATGTAAATTCCCATTCATGAAAATGTGTACACGCCTATCCTCGGTATCTAATATACCTACCAATATTGACAAATTATACGCAAATAACAGACTCGATAAAAATGTTCAAATTCCGGTATATCTAGATGTCAATCAAATTTCTACATTAGAAACCCATAACACAAGATCAAACAAGTTACATAATTTACCTACTATACCTACGACAGTCTTAGCGGCTTTATGTCCATAAATTGCAACAAAAACACGTTATTTTAGTTATGAATCCGTATTACAGAAACACGACCGTTGCTATGTCGGCAGTGTGTAATACATTATTATATTTTCATTTTCGAATGTATGTGCAGATTGTGACTTTTGGAATTTGCAGCATCACTGCGTATGTGTTACGCGTATACGCTACACTCCCGATACTTAAACAAAATCATTGAATAAAACATTCATTTAAAATAAGAAATATTAAATGTTTTGACGGACGCGTGTACAAGCATAATAATAATTATCCGGGCGAGAATTAAGACTTTAATAAAAATCTAGAAGATAATACGATTATTTCAATATAAATATAAAAAAAAAATAATACGTTTCGAATTTGAAATTATTTATAGGTGCGTATATTTAATAAAATATATTATATTTTTTTCATGACGCTGTTTAATTTTACGGATGCGTAATCAAAGAAGTCCTCAGAAATCAAAAACCCCTTGTATATTTTCGTGCAATAGGATTTTAAAATTTTTTTTTAAATATTAATAATTTTTTTATGTTAGTATACAAAAAATATTATTAAATTACATAAACACTAAAAAAAAACTGTACGAAACATAATTGAACGTCATGTTATGAAAGTGACGTTTTTTTTTTTATTATTATTATTTAGGTATTTCAATATGTTCTCTAGAATTGCGCTTTTCATTTCAATCGAAACGGAATATAATTATGTTTTTCATTTACGACCCGAATATTCGGTATATGATTAACGTTAAAAATATGTATATATATTTTTTTTAAATCAGATTATTTTGACTGGTAACGCTTTATAACCTAATGCGTAATACGCTATAAATACAAATTCGTTTCGGTTGTATTTTCTAAACGTGAATAGGTATTTAATTATCCGCGTCCATTCGTATAGCTGTACAAAATATAATTATTATTCGAAACCGTTGAAGTTTAAGAAAATAGAACTCAAGTACGAATTTAATTTTCAATTTCAAAGAGCGTATAAATATTAGTACTATGTTTCGTATAGATTTCGCTGAGAAAGAACGTGTTATTACACATATTCGCGTCAGAATTAAAAACCGGCGTGCGGTTTGTGTATTATTATTATCGAACATATTAACCCAACACTAAGTTTTTGTGAAACGTATCAAGATTTTAAACTTTTTAACCAGCATCACGTATCCTCCCTCCTAAATAAATAATCACATCCGAGTCGATATTTAAGAAAAATAATCGAACCTGGATAAATATCTTTGAGTCACAGTTTACTAGAAATAATAAGTAACAATGTAAAATATTTTTTTTTTTGTATCAATAATCAATATGATTCAATAAACTAAATATCAAGTAGCAACACGCAACATTTACGTAAAATCTATAGACGTGTACCGAAATCTGTTACGCTTTTACTATTTGTAACACTTTGTTTCGTACTAACATAATTATCTTTTATTTTATTTTTTCCTAGATAGTTGAATTGTTAAGTACATCTTTCGTATTTATCTAAATTATCATTCTAGCAATTATCTTCAAATGGATATTTTACAATAATTAGTCTCTATTAAACAACGTTGACAACCAAACTTCCAATAATTTCGTCCATCTCTTAAAACGTTATTTTTCTCCACGAACTTCGGCCTTCCGAAAATAGCATCTCCCCATTAAATTCAGTTCAGCGCCGCCTGTAGGCCATGGTGTAGTGGTTTTCATACAACCTACTAAATTTTGTACACAACATTTTATTTGATTGACGATTATCAATACAGAATATCGAATGAATAGTATATATTTGAAATAAATAATTATTTCGGAGTTATGAACGCTATAAGGAGATATCGTAACGAACAATAATGATTACGATGTCGATTATTCGGCGAAATATAATATAGAATACATTTGTCTGTCGTAACAATAATATGCCGTCTCGTTTAAATGTACTGCAAAAATCGAAGGTGTATAGCAAAAAGAAAACAAAAACAATCGTTTCATTTTCAAAAAGCTTCTTGGAAATAAAAATATCCTCCTTCTTACTGCGTACTGGTAACCATAACACAACGCTATTTGTTCAACTACAATATCATAGATAACGGTATACATAATATAACGGTATGAGAAAAATTAGCTAATTAGATTTTGAAGAAAAGCAATATGGCAGACACGCGTAGAACTTTTAAGTGCTGATAAAGTTACCCTTTTAATTTATCGTAGTGGTACCAACGTTCACAATTTTCCTATATTAACATTTGAAGGCGACCTATCAGTTATTTTCGAAATATTGTACGCAGAAATACTGGTTTTTGGTGAAATATGTTTGGTACATTCTATGATGACATATCCGTAATTTTAAGCTAAGTAAATATCATATTACTAAAATGTTTTACTAAATATTTCTACAACATAAAATGACCACCAACCACCAACTAATATATAATATACATCCGAAAATTAAAGTTTATAACTTAATAGCTTATAAAATAAAATGTTTGTTGTGTTATACAATTGTATTTAATATGTTAAAGTCGTTAAAGCACTTCTAAACTCCTCCACTATTTTTCTTTTTTTTATATATATATTTTTAAAGTGTTTTTTTTTTTTCCAGGGCTTTTAAACATTTTTAATCTACTTTTGCGGATATTAAGTGCTAATAGTCCCTGATTAAAAACTAACGTATACACAGTTTTTTTCAACACGATGCAGGATACTATATAATACTTTGTATTGAACGATTTTTTACAATGGTTCATTGTTATTTTTTTCGGATTAAAATTAAAATTTACATAGGTATGTGAAAAAGTAACGTGCACACTGTGCAGTATTAAATATTATAAATTATTCAAACGTTATATCGAATGTGAATACACCGGCGCTGTTCGTCTGCTCCCAATTAAATCATTGAAGTGGAATTTTATTAATGAAAAAAAAAATCCCTTCGCACAAATTCGATTTTCTAATTATAATATAATTTAATTATTTGGTGAAATAAAAAAACTTACCTACGTATTTATTTAATCGGATGAAAAACTAAATTAATATTTTTTATCGCGCTGTTCGTAGTATTATTTTAACTCTGTTATAGATTGCCAATATATAAGTATAATATTTTAGACTACACGTGGTTTCAGAATAATTTAAATTCTCTCTCTCTTCTTGTATTCAATCCTTATAGTTGGTTTGTCAGTTGCACATACGCTCTTTACTCTTCCCTGTTTCCAGCTAACCTTTTCATTTCAGAATAGCTCGATAGTTTAAAATAGGAAATAATTTCTTTGATAAATGTAGTTCTTGAACGTCCTTGGTCCCTTTTACCTTCAATTTTCCCTTGATGATCAAATTATATTTGTGAAAACATCTCTAAAACTTCCTCTACTTGATCCATACTACTTCACTAAGAATTTGTATGCAGTGGACTCATTCTCCTTCTATATTGCAGTTGATTAGCCAATCCTTGAAATACAGTCTGCCATATCTAATAATTGTTCTATATGTCTATAGAAAAAATACAATGACAATATTGATAATATTTAATTGAAAGATGCTCGAGCACGTATAGAAAATAATTTGGCTTGTGATTTCCTCCCGATTCGATAATAATATCAATATTCAAGAGTATCGAATAATTCATTACCTATATCTGTACCTGGACTTCTTGATCAAGCAGAACAAAACTTACTTTTTGATGAAAATATAGTATAATAGTATACCGGGTAGGTCTAACATCTAAAATTTGATATTTATTTTCTTGCGCCGGAGGGCAAGAACAGGACAATGTCAAAACTATAACTATTTATGATATTCAAGAAACTATGTTTGATCGTTCTGAGCCCAAGGTCCGGAAGGTCCTATTTTTGAAGCGTATTCGCAGTAAGAATGATCGACCAAAGCATAAGTAATTGGTAATTTTTACTTAGTATATTCAAATAGTCCATTTTCAAACAGTTATCGAGCAATAAGTATGTACACGTAAATATAGAACAATTTCTTAGGACAGCTATGTTTAATTGCTGATTAGATATAAACATTTACAATCAATAGATTCACTCTTAATTTTAACAATTTTAAATATCTAACATTTTAAAATGTTAACTACTATTGCAATTATTAATGCCTTAAACGGATTTATTTTTTAGTATTATTATTATCCGTTATTTGTTAACATATTTAATATAGTTTAAACCAATTTTTTTTCTGCGCTGCAAAGAAAATAATGGTTTTTGAACCATTCGAACAACTTATGGTCATGAAGCAATTAGTAGAAGAGTTGGGAGCGGAAAATAATAATCCTCGTAGATTTTACCAAGCACAAAATGCTATCGAAGTTTCGTTCAATATTACATTGTATGAACTTTTATAATGACACGAAAATTCAAATTAAATACTTACAATAATTGTATTTAATGATTTATAATAATAAAAAGGGATTTGATAAATGACACTTATACAACTATCATCTAATGGTTTCAATCTTTAGTATTACATTAATAATACTACTATAATACTATGATAATATAAGTAATGATAATTTCTTAAAAGAACCTTTAAAGTTCTAATTCATACAAAATTACTAGGTATATATATATATATATAGAGTGATTTTTTTTATCATGAACCAGCAATTATTTCAGAGGATTTTAAGTGAATTTTTTTTTAATCATTATGGAATCGTTTAAGCTTTATTTTAAAACCATTTTTAATTTGTCAAGCCTACACTATGTACCTTAAACAAGTGCATACTTTTGATTTTTCAAATGATAACCCCCCTCACTTTAGAACACAGATTTGAATAGATAATATTTTTCTAGACATTTTGGTATGCATAACACTAATATTAGATTAGTTTAGACCGGAGGAGTATAGAAGGGTCATACCCTTCTAAATATAATATATGTGCAATATGTAAATCTAATATTAGTGTTATACATACCAAAATGTCTAGAAAAATATTCTGTATTAAAATTTGTGTTCTAAAGCGAAGGGGGTTATCATTTGAAAATCAAAAGTATGCACTTGTTTAAGGTACATGGAGTAGGGGTGTAAAATTATAAAATAGTTTTAATATAAAAATTTAACGATTCCATAATGATTAGAAAAAAATTTCACTTAAAGTCTTCTGAGAAAATTACTGGTTCATGATAAAAAAAATCTCCCTGTGTATACATATATACGTATATATATATATATATATAATAAATAAATAAATATATATTTACTATATTAATATAGTGAAACAATTAAATAATGCAACAACAATGAACAATGTTCTGTGTTCATATCATATCGCTTATTATTATTTTTATGATAGGCTAATTATAATTTAATTTTCTTTCGTAATTATTATTTGTTATGTTTTACTATATAAAGCAAAATCGTGTTATTTACACCTATTGTTTTGTCTATAATAAATATTGTAATATCGGTTACCTACTATCTAAGCAGATATTCGTATTATACGTTGTTTAAGTTAAGATGTATTTGTCTATGATGTTCATAATCAAATCGCATGGATAGGTAATAAAGAAATAAAAGTCATTACTACAACGCCTATCGGGTATGATAACATACAAAATAATTTTTTCGCCAAAACTGCGATAAGACGTAAATATTATAGCATTACCAACCGAATATTTAATACTTCATCCATTGTCTCACGTACGATTATTCGTGTACGCACGATTCATAATATCCATTGCCCTATGCCGATCGAAAATACGAAATACTGTAAGTATATACGATCAATGGTAACGTCCGTACACAAATTATCGTGTTTACGTCTGGTCGTTCGTTTCACAAATACGGCCCAGACGTAATACTATCACACACTATCGTTTCGTCGACTTAATTTCGTATTTAAAATAAATATCAAACGTGATGGCGTTTAGTTTTGTATAAGTTACTCGTGCGTTCGTATACTACAATTTATTATTAATTTCGCGTTATTTATTTAGTAGGAATATCTACTTTACAACCGAAAAATGTATCGACTATCATAAACTATCACCCAAACACCAGACACGGATTTGTATTTTGGATATTCGTGAATTAAGTATACGTGAATTTCTGATTGCTCAGGTTCCAGCAAGAAATGTTTCACTAATTTCAGGCGTATACGTGTAATAAACAGTCCTAATATATTTATATTACGCCGTAGGTTAACAATTTATGCTTTTCAAAATGTAAGTTTCTTCGCAGACCTGCAGTGTAACGTATTTGGTAGAGTGATATACTATTTTTTCGAACCTCTAAGGAGCAGTAAACATGATCGACAAATTGCACGCGTAACGTCGTATATTGGAATGTAATTGAATAATAAAATACGTACGTAAGTGTATTATAGTACAGAACTTTAAGTACAGAATATTTTTCGAATTCCCTGGCCGAAGGGTTCGTCTCAAAAATCACTAAAGAAATAAAATCCAAGGGTAATATATAAACGCATAATAATTTAATGTCTGTTATTCCGATAGTCTTTTCTTTTCATCTGACTACCGTAAATCCGTAAATCACCGGCTATTTTACAGTTTTTTCTGAAATCGTCTACCTTCTATCACTGATAATGATGGAATTCATTAACAATTATGTTTTTTTTTTACCATGCTTATAATTTTGAATTACCAATCACAATAAGTTTTAACGTACCTTCAACCGTAACAATTCAATTAATAATTAATAAACATGGAATGGTGTGTAAGAGGTGACCTTGGTAACTATAATGTTACTCACCACTTTTCAATCAACATACGTAAATTATAAAATTAAAATAAATTGAAGTACCGGGAACGTAATTTCACTATGTCATAACAGCACACGCGAATGCCACGTCTTTTATCATAGTCTGTTATATATTGTATTGTAAAGAACATTTTCGTAGTTACACATACAAAATAGGAAGGTGTTTTGGTTTGTCTCTTTCTTACATTAGTTTTCAACAGTTCTATTTCTCTAACTCGTGCAGCCATATTTCTGTATCTAATTTCAGAAAAAAATAAAATATAATAACATGGGCTCGCGTGTTACGGACACAAAAGATAATCCCAATTATTCATATTTCCTACTAGATATGTATACAAACATCTCAGGAATTTGCGTTATAGGTACACGTTCATATAATATAGGTACCTATACCTACCTTTATTGACGTTTATAGGAACGGATGACGTCACGATATAGAGAATTTTTTAATATAAGCGCTATCCGTTTAAGTGGATGACAAGCACTAGGTAATATTGGCAATACCATCGTCATCGGCGCACCGCAAACCAATAACTATATCGGGACCAATTGTGCGATAAGGTTCCAAAAAAAAAAAAAAAAGTCCAAACGGCAAGAGAATAAAATGTGTACCTACCGTATAATATATACAAAAGAAACCGACAGAATAAACGCGCGCCGGTATATATGTAATCTCCAACATGTATAATTCATTAAAAAAAAAAAAAAAAAATCTTTCCTCTTTATATCTCACCGCATTATCAACATTCTATATATCTATATATATTATACTCTCTTTCTTTCGCGGTATATTTCTCACGGATGTGGACGAAGTAAGTAGGTAGGTAGGTCCGTAGGTGGGTAAGTATAATAATAATATATAAAGGTAACGAAGGGTAGACGTATACGAACGTTAGCCGGGTCGAATATATATATACGCTTGAGCTTTTATGGCCGTATAAAATTCTGAACTTGCCCGTTTTCTTTCTTTTGTTTCCCCCCCCCCTCACTACTCCCCGTACCACGGACGGTTTGCTGTTTTATATACGGCGGACCGAAGTTTCGTACGAAGAAAACCTAATTTCAGAGAGAACAACGACGGCGACGGGACGGATATGTTTTCACGGGATAACAACAAACTAAAAAAGACACGACAAAAATAACATACAGTGTGATTTTTTCACACCGTGGTCCAGCGATTTTCTTTTCTCAAAAGATTTTATGTTCATTTTGGTTACCGGTTTATTTTTTATCATTATTTTATTTTTCAACTATTGTAGAATTGTTTTATCTATTATTTTAACAACGCGTTTTCAAATTTGTACCCACTATATAGATACTTTTTATAGTGTATAATTTTTAAATTTCGAATTTTCAAATGGCTCCCTTCCTACTCTGCCCAGTTTTAGTTGATATTATGTGAAACGATGATACTTGCGCTATGGTAACTATAAAAAAAAAAAAATAAGATTGATTTGACTTTGTTTACTATATGTAGTCTATATTATATTGACAATATTAGAACGAGATATCGCACTATAAATTCGATAAATTAATTATTATGGGTAGACATTATTATTACAGAAACACGGAGCACCTCGATAAAAATCCTATTCAAATTTTTTACTTCAAATGTAACTAATTTAATTTTAAAAAAGCATTGTGAACTTTAACTCGGAGTTCGTGATATAAAAAAGAAAAAAGATGAAAAAATATATTAAAAGACCAGACTTTCAAACACTATATATATATAAACGAGCTCATTTTTTTTAAATATAAAATACATAAACATACACACAATACGCATATATATATATATATATATATATATATATGTATATACATATTATATATTATATAAACTAGTATATTCAAATGCATGTTCGAGAGTCGAGACCAGCTCGGAAAAGAGTGGAGGTGTTTCAGAATATTGTTCCGTTTATACAAAATATATAACGTTTCCTATACATAGAAAATATCAAATCCCGTTCACGTTTTATTTACAAAAATCACAGATAGATATGATATATTGTTTACAAATATATATTTTATAGTGTATACTAACCATGTATAGGGTTTTTACTTTTTTTTTTTTATATATATTTCGAGTGAGAACGATGTGTGACCTGACTTTTTTCTCTGCCTGTAAACAACTTTAAATCTAACAACATTAGGAGAACGTGATGTCCTCGGTAAGTCGACTGCAAAAACTGTTGTACGTGTGCTAAACTACCCGAGCTATAAACCTCATTGAGAAATTAAATTATCACTAATAAAAAAAAAAGATTGTATTTTTTTTCGATAACATAAATAGAAAAACAAATATATATTATTTAAATCAATTTGTCGATTTATGTTGGTTTTTTATACAAATGTACTGTTTTATTCAAATCTTGATGGTGGCAGTTTTCTTTTTATCTCAATATAACACTGAAATTTTGATCAGAATATTTGTAGACACCTAAAATGTTCGCAGAATACTTAAATTAGAAATTTTTAGATGTGATAATATTATTAAAATATTTCAACGATTTTTGAAGTTTTTTTTTAGATTTATTTAATAATTATTATTTATTTATCGGTTCTTCTCTGGACGTCATGCAACTAAGTCATTTCTCATAGTGTACACAGTATGTAAAATGTAATACGACATTTATTTATAAAGAAAAAAATGTACTCGAGTGCTCATATGTTACAGTCTGGTGCGTTTTTATTATATAGGCTATTCTGAACAAAGTTATATAAAATTGTCAAATAATACAATAACAAGGTATACATTTTCTAACTGTAAAAATCCATTACACGGAATATCAAAGATCATAATATAAAGTCTGTTTTCTTTAACTGTAGAATTGTAGTATCATTACTGCAGGCGGTTTTGAAATTTTTTAAAACTTATTGTTTACTAACGATATTTTTACGACTGCGCAATATCTCATCCCAAACTACGTACAACAATATTCAAAATTAGTTTAGTTTAGAAACTATTAAATTAAATTAAATTTCAATTTAAACAATTTTAAAACTTTCCAAAAATTGTGTATACCTACCATTATTTCTAGTCGAGGTTATTACAGTCTCAGTTGGAAACCTTATTATTACCTTTGAGATTGATTTTTGAAATTTATTTTTTTTTTTTTTTAAATAGATGACATATTTCATCGTATTCCGGGGATCGAAGTTTTGTTTATATTAACGAATAATCGGAGACTATTAATTTAATGTTTTAGCTTAAAATACGCGATTATTGAATGCGTTTGATAAATCTATAAACTTGAATTATTAGTGTAGTTCATAATATCTCAAAAATAAAGAGCTTTATTATATCTTTTTAATATTAATATAAAATTTAATTTATATTTCAGATCAGCAACCGTCCACCGAAAAATCCGCCGTCCCCACGTTTAGGCCTAATTTATGACTTAATCCTTGAATACAGTTTAGCCAAAACTCTAAATATCATTCAACTTAACTTTATCTAGCCGCACTAAAAATCAAAAATGTATTTGGCGAAAGATTTACAAAAAAAAAACAAAACCGTAATTTGAATAATATAAAAATGTTTTAAATAACTTAACAATTTATTAATAATGAATGATAATTATATTTTTTTAAATTAACGGACGGCCTACGGAAATCGTATAAAATAGTAGTAAATGCGTCGAAAAATGTATTGTATAAATAAATTAGCGTTAAAAATTATGAAATAAACTAAAAAATGATTGTAAATAGCATCAGTAAATCATTAAATGTGAAGAAAATTCCTATTTTATTTTTAATTGTACTTTTAAATCCCCATATTCTAGACCTACCTATTGCCTTTTTTTATTAATGATTATTATTATTTTCTGGGTCACCTTGGTTAAATGATTGATTAAATTGCCACGGCCAACTATATGTTACCTCTCTGGACGTTGCAAATGAAAAAAATAACAGTTATTATTATGTAATTTGGACCGGAAAGTTTTAAAAGTTTTAAAAGTTAAATTATCGAGCAACAAGGACTTACTTGTAATAAGAATAATAATGGAAACGGGGAGACACTTTAAATTGAATTTCTCTTATTGATTTCTGTATTTTTAAAGAATTGATCCCGGAAAATAATACCGAGTAGATGAGCTAGTTATCATTCCGAAATCTGAAAGTTTAGGTTTTTAAACTCAATTAACGTGTCATAATGGTGATATCGAAAACTAAAACCAATCTTTAATAAACCTAGTTCTATATTTTTTATTGTCACAATTTAGTTTCTTAATTAAATATATACAGTCCAATTCGTTTTATTCCCGTTAGAAACGGTTTTTTGTAAACATTATTGTTAATTTCATAACTACACAATAATTACTAGTGGTAATTTGAATATTTTTGAGTTGATAAAATTTCAATTTTCTACCGATCACAAAAAAAAAAAACAGTTTTTTCGTAACCCCTTAAATACGAGAGGCATTACATACTTTGAACAATATTATACGTCAATAACGATACAAATTATAGTTTCACGTATAATTAGGTGTACATAAAAAACCGACTATTTTTATTTAAATAATATTTCGCGTTATTTGTTCCCAAAATGGACAGCTGAAAACAGAACGAATATAATGCTCAATAAAATGTCCGTGTTTTATTCAATTATTTAACCGATTGCATTGTTGCTGTCGCTAAGACGTTTGAACGTATTATTATTATTCGATATACTCAAAAAAAAAAAACAAAAAAAATGGGCGTATAAAAAATAAAAACACATTATAAAACTAAAAGCGTCGTCGCGCGTCGTTGTCGTGCGATTCTGAATCTAAAAGTACTGTCAGTCTTTTCACAGTTTATACGTGTACGAAAACAATAACTATTTGCTGGGTTGTCATCAGTGTAGTATTGGTACTTTGTAACAGGAAAAATTACACTTAATGCATCTACTCCCGCATAACAGATTATCAGACTAAATAAGTTCAGTAATGTCTAAAAATTCTATTATTAGTCACACAGTTAGTTTAATTTAAGTAGCTGGTTTAGAAGATTGTTTGTCTAGTATAGGTAATCTAATATAATCGTATATTATTATAATTGGAGTTGTATGATTTTAATTATTTTTATCATTTTATACAGGTACTATTGGTATAATACGAGAAAACATTTAAGATAAAAAAAACAGATTAAACCAAATTTAATAATTATGTCGAATTAAAAAAAAAATATATCATAACTCTTGATAATTACCTACTCTAGAACAGAATGTTTGGAACATTTTAAATTTGTTTTTATATTTTGAATTTTGATTTCGAGTTTCAAATAAACTCGAAAAGTAAAATAATTGCACAACTCGCAAAGTTTAGAACAGCAGAAGTAAAAAAAAAAAATAATTTTACGTTCATATTTTCGTTTCGTGCATTTCATATTATTTTCTCGTACAAAACATACTACGTGGGCGGTCACTGTTAAGTGCTGAGTGTCTAATTTGACTATAAAAGCCATGCGAGGAACTTGTCATAATAAACTGATAAGGCTGTCATTCCGTATCCTGTATACATAAATAATTACTTCATAGTTGTTATATTTTATACCTAACTATAATCATTGACTGTATACACAATATATACGTATAAACATTAAAATTATACAGAATGTCCAATGAAGGGCTCATTATAATATCTTCGGGGATAAGAAAGATAATCAAGTTCTGTTTTTTTTTTTTTTTTTTTTTTTATGTATTGGGGATAAGTACTAAACTCTAGTTCAGTACTAGTACTGTCAAGGATAAGTACTAAACATACTTACAATGCAATTAATTGTTTATGCTTTGCTAAAAACTTAAAAAAATTATTTTTTATTTTATTATTTTTAAAAAAAATTTGAATACGGCCATTTTATAGAATTTATTTTTCTGAAAATTTTAATGTTTCAGCTTTTTTTATTTTCATTAAACTCATGCGTTTCAATAATTTTTTAAAGTTCAAAGAAAAGTACCTATAATTATGCAGCAAGCTGTAATTGCATAACCTAATTGATTATTATCATTACGATTATTTAACTGTGCAGTTCTTTTTTCTGTACTTTAACAAATTATATTATTATATCATTCAAATAATTTTTCGAAAACAATAAAAAAAAAATTATTTTGAAATATATATTTTTTTAGTAGTTCTTATCTCTATGAATAATATTAAAAAGAAAAAATTAAAACATAAATTTATTATCTTAATATTTCCGAAGATATTACAATGGGTACCTTCATGAGACTGTATTATTATACTATATTGGTGAATATTATTTTCTAGCCGTCCCGCCTGGCGTTGCAAAAAAAGAAAAAAATAACATAATTAAAAATAACTAATTATTTATAACATACTGTTGCGGCCGTTACACGGAATACGTTATTCACTATTAGTTTGATTTTTTCATTTTATCATTATCAGCAAGGAGACCCATAAATCAACAAAACTACCAATAACTCTGTGCGAGCCCCGCTTTTAGTTGTATGAATACGGACAGGGGAAAGTAGCCTATAATATGTTATTCCTGCAAGTCTAGAACTATATCCACGCAAAGTTTCGGCTCAATCCGTTCTGTAGTTTGGGCGAGAAGTAGTACAGGTAACAAACACACATCTGAACAAACTTTCGCATTCACAACGTAAGTAGNTATATATGTAACCAAGGCTATAATATAATGTGATACGCATTTTGATAACTAACAAAATGCATTATTAATATTAAATTCGACCATTTTTCAAAATAATTGTTATCTGTAACACTTTTAAAAATTTAATTTATTCTACTGTGCTGACTTCAAGATGAAAGTATTCGTTTATGTTTGATGAAATTTAATTTGGAAACAAGTACTCCCGCGGAACTGTTTTCTACAATCTTAAAATCGTATGTTATTATTTTTTTTTTTTTTTTTGTGTAGACAATTCAATTTTTTCCACAACTTTTAAACACCATCTATCTCGGATTTATATAATAATCACGTCCAATTGACACACACGAAATAATATTAAATTGTTTTCTATAATTCACGGATAGACTACTGTTGCAAATGGGTAATTGGGAAGGTAGGTTATAAAAATCAACTTTTTTAAATTTTATAAAAAAAAACCCTGTTGAGAATCTTCGATATTTTGTTCAAATAAAGTAGCACCAAGCGAAAAATCCAGATCTTTCACGGTATGATAAAAAAAAAAAAAACATTGAAACACTTTTACTAACCCAAAAAGTGTTTCCGAGAGAGAAAAAAAACACGCATCTTGGCAAAACTTATAGCTATTTCGCTATTACTCTCGTAATCATAAAACAAATATCATCATGCATAAATTAGAGTGAAACACACCGTATTAACCTAGATCAATTTGACAAATAATTGCCGATAATTGTATATAATCGTTTATATCGTATGTTTGGATCGATTTATATACACTTAAGTTGTATATACTTGTATAATTAAATTCAAGGATATATATTTATATACATTTTTTTTTTTTTTTTTAAACAATTTTCGACGTTTTTGTCCGTATTATACTTGCCTACCTATAGAATATTATACGAACATACTCACAAGTGTATTCGTTAACTTTTAACTATTACAAAAGAATTGATTATTAAAATGATAACGCTTCGGCACTTTACCACTCGGCACTATTCGTGTGTACGTGAGTGTGAGTGTACGCTTGTGTATGTGTGTAAGTGTATTGTTTTTTACCAAAGAATCGATTAACGCTTTTGTGTACTTAAAAACCATTGTAGAAAAAAAAACGTTTACCGTTAATCGATATTTTGTTTTAAATTGAACTTTTCCATTTGTATAAAACGGATACCATTGCATTAGCCAGCAAAGAAGAAGAAAAAACGTGCCAATAGCTATTTACAAATAGATACTGCTGCCCAAAGAAATTAAATATGTTTTATTTCTAAACGGCGACGAAGTAATAGAAACAATAATATTTACTGCAATAGATGATATACGACTCAAATAGACCCTGTAAATAATGTCCTCTCCCTTAGTTCCACGATTTTTCATTTAAAACTCATTTATTTTTTTTTTTTTTTTTAATTTGTACAACAATGATCACCTTGTAGAATAAACGTAATTCAAATCTGATATTGTGTAATATTCTGACTATCATAGTTATTTTCTGGTGGGATTATATTCCAGAATATATATGTGATATTTTTTTACTCGTACACAATCTATAAACTATGAATTATGTTCAAAATTTATAAAATGTTACTCAAAAATATGTATTAACATTTATAATTATACAAATATAAACATACACCAAATTGTTTTCCTTGATTTTTCCTAACTATTATGAAAATGGTTTTGAAAATCAAAATGCACCAAATGGATCCGAAACTAAAAAAAAGTATCTTATTATCTTTTAATCGGAACAAGATTTTTAATAGAAAAATTGTTAACACCACAAATAAAACTATACGGTTTCCATAGGAATTTCAACCCATACTGTGTGTCGCACTCAAAAAATGTATCATTGAAATAGAAAACAATAATGACTTTCTAGGATAAATTAAACTAATTTAGTTTTCTGTCTAAATATCAAGTCTCTAAAATTATTATTTTTAACTAAATCAAAACAAAAAAACAAAATTGAAATAAATAAATTTTGTAAATTGTCCCGTTTTTTTCCTCAATCATTATGAAATTTTTTTTGGAAAATCAAAAAATTACCTCCTTTAAGTACCATTCAGTTAAAATTTCCTTCGAAGCGAGATTTCTGGTTGAAAATATCTTTATAAAAAAAATAATAATACAAAAAATAAACATTGTAAAACCAATACATTCCTCGCTTCGATCAGAATCTAAAATAATAAAAACCCGCCTATTCGTCATCATTTCTACAGTTGAACTGCTGCACGTTTGGCAAAGTGTTTCATTAATATTCTCGGGTATACTATAATATATATAAAGTAAATAAACAAACTTCGACGGAGTGCACTTAGTGCAGCTCTTAACTCGGACTCGATATTTTTATATTGTAATAAGAGATCGTTGTCGTTTCTCGTTTCTATATTATATTATTGCGAAAAACTTCTCGGGTCAGTCTCGACGACCGCACAAAACGTCTCCGTCGAGCGTTTGACACGATCGCACCCGACATTGGTGGAGAAAAATTAAAAAAAAAAAAAAAAAACAAAAAAACTTTCTACCAAGTATTGAAATTTAATCTTTTCCCCGGCGATTTCTTATCGCGGAAACCCCGTTCATCGCGATTGTCCGACGCACGTCGTCGATCAAAATTTATATTTTTCGACCCTCCCACCGCGTTGATGCCATGACTGTGCTCCGTTATACCGACGATATTATTACTATATCGAAGGCATATTATTATCATTATTATTATATATGTTTAATATATAGTCCATCCGTCATTGTCGTTCAACTTAAACAGCTCGTATAATACGATGTCACGTGGATTTCGAAATCGTACCTGCCCATCAAATTCATATACTGCAGTGGCGCACATCTGCGGCACATATGATTGTTTTATTATATATATATAAAAACAGTGACGTAGCCGGGAATTCGGTAAGAGGGAAATGGGGTCTAAACAGGAGAGTCATTTGAGGCCTTCAGACTACACTTTGGTAGTCCTAGTTTATAAAATGTGTTTTTGCTGGCATAAAATAACATAATTTTGCTCTTGTTTATATGAATAGTAAAATGCAAAAGGCAATATTTGATCATAAGAAAAACGAATCGCCTATAAATTGTCAGTTACCTACCTAGTTTATTAGAAAGTTACAGTTACTACGTAGTATAGTTATCTAGATTGAAGTAATTTTAAAGAGAAAAATATTCACTGAACAATTTATCGTTATTTGTTAGCCTTTACGTATATCTATATAAACGTGGTGGTTACCATACGATGACGCGGTGGCGCCGTTGCTCATGACTGTGGAAAATAGTAAACATAGACTCGATCACTAAATATTGATAATCAATTAACGGCCATCGTAGTATGATAAATCTGTCATGTTTTGTTACTACAAATCACAATAGACGTAACATTATACAACACACGCAATTACTAATTATCAATAATATTAATTATGGAAAAAAAGAACAGGTGACGCTGCACATTTAAAACGTATTACAATATAAACATAATGTTTTCCTGGAGAGAAAAATTGGGCCGATTCAAATTTTAAAAACTGAAATTTCGCCTCTGTGGCTACTCAACAAAAAAAATATCCTGTCAAAAATTCCCCAAAAATATGCTTTCTGAGTAAAAAAAAAAACTTGAATTAGTAAAACTAAATAGCTTCTTGACTACTCTGAGAATCTAAAACATAATCATTGTATTATATGTGAGTTTGATTTCACGTGACGTTTACCTATAAAGAATTATCAATCCTTCTCTCTAGAATAAAATTATAACTACACCATTAAAAAATCATATGATTAATTAATCATATCATTGATAATATATAAAAAGTCATTCATCACGATTAAAGTTCTGAATAATAATTACTGATGAGTGTTAACCACAAAGTATTGCAAAATATCTAAAAAAAAAAAATTAATTTAAAAGTATTAATTCATTGAATGATGTTTAAAGTGTATTAAGGATTTCCATCTAAAATAAACACAGCCCACCGGAGTGAGGGGAACTGTACGTCACTATATAAAGTAATTATAATATAAGTCTTATATTTTTAAATATTAGATATTTTTTACCTAATATTTTTAGATACTTAAAAACGACGTAGTTGAATGAATGCGAAATATTTGTTATGGCACCTGCCTTTTTATTTTAATTGTTTGGTCGATATAACTCCTATAATACTAATAGGAATTTGATTAATATATTGTACACCAAAGAACGCGGTTATCGTTTAAATATTAAAATCATAATTATATTATTCCCGAATGTTTAATAATATAATAAAGACGTCGTCCGTAAATATTTAATTAAAGTGTGAAATTTTTCGTCCGTTTGGAGAATTTGGCAAATAATTTCTCTAATATACATATATTAGTATTGCGAGGAATTTCCTCGCTCTACTGCGGTTGAGTTTAAACAATTTTTTTTTTTTCTGTTCGTCAGGCCGTTCCTGTTCCAGTCGATTACTGACGCGGAGAAACTTGAAGAAACGTGAGCAAATTTCGCAAATGTCGGTGGGGAGAGAACGTCGGAAAACAAAACAAAGGGCAAGCTGTCTAGTACAATTCAAGTTTGACAAGATCACGACGTGCTATAAATCATTGGACCCGGAGGAACAACAGAAAAAACTAGCGGTCAGGTTAAAGAACCGCATAAAATATGGACGCGAGAACTTTTTGTAGTCAATCGTCAAATTTTCCGAAGCGGAAGCTGGACAATTTCTACGATATTTCGAATAACCGTGTTGAAGTAAATTCTGATGTTTTAGATTTTAAGTTTTTTATTAACATTACCTTATATCGTTATAATTTTGGATATTAATAATCGCGTAGGTTAAAACAAATGTAAAATATATCTACTAAATACCTAGTGGTACCTATTTTGTAGTTGCAATTTTCGTTGTTGTTTCCTTGTTGTTTCTCAGAATTTCAATTATTTTCAAAATAATTTGGAAAATAATCAAAATATAACCATCTTTAAGTACCACCTAGATAAAATTTATGCTCAGAAAAGATGCTATACTTTAAAAACAGAGCAAAATTACCTGTAGAAAAATTGTTCACAAAAAAAATATTTTTTAAAACAAAACATCATTATAAAATCATTAAATTCAGCTTCGTTAAGAATCTAAAAATCAATTAATTGTATAAAGATGGATTTTATATTAAATTTTCATCAATCGATTCAACAAAATACGTGGAGTATCAAAGGTTACTTTTAATCTTTCGACATCACCACTACCACCCCATAAAACCAGTTCAGAGGTATTTTTGGTACTAAAATAAAATTAATTTTGTTTATGGGTCACAATGTTAACACAGATGAAAAAACAGTTACTCGTACTATATCTATTCTGTTGACATTTGTCAAATTTAGTTAGGTTGTATTTAATTAGCCAAAATAAATATATATAAAAAAAAAAAGTCGACGGCAGTTTAAAATTCAAAATGGCTACCAATAGTTTTTACAGGCATCAACAAAAAAAAAAAAATATATAATTGGTTAATTAACACCCACTGCGAGTTAAATAACAAAAAACTAACTACAAACTAAGACATTAAGTTTTGAAAAATCTCATATTGAATCAAACAGACTTCTCAAAGTTCACATAGGGACAAGAATGTTACAGGGAAACTTAAACTGAAACTTTTAATTCAATACTGTGCAAGGGGTGTTGAAGAGTTAAATATAAAAAATAATATTAATTGATAATTAATTGTCAAAAAGTCGTCATGGGTGAAAAAAAAATAAGTTATTGAGCAAAACCTTCGAAATTGTAGAAACTGTAGTCACGGAGAAACACAGGAAAACACGTTATCAATTTATTTAACGATTTTTCGTTCTTTACTGTACACAGAGAAAATCGTACAGGACAGCTAGTTTATTTATAGGTAGTTATACCCATGTATATTATCTATGCTTACATATCTTCTCCATCCCCCCATCAAAAAAAAAAGAGTTTTTGATATTTGTAGTTCGAAAATTAAGTTATTTTTGTTGATACATGAATTGCATAATTTATATGAATAGAACATAAAGGGCCAAGAAAAAAAAATTGTTTAATTAATTAAAAATTGCAAGTTGAAAAAAATGTATTTATTTTCGAAAATCTCACGTTAAATCCATAGTTATTGTAATAACTTTTTTTTTGATTTTTTTTGTTTGACCTTTGTTTCTCCATGCCACAGTCAGATGACAAGATGACGAAATTTGATTACATGAAAGAAATATTCGTCAAGAATTAAAAATTAAAACAAACTTTTTTTGGGGAAACGTTATAGTAATACAAGCCCATTTAGAAGCAATGCATATGCTGGTTAGTGTAAAAACATATTAGGATTTTAATTCGCCTAACCGACGAAAAAATTCCATAACAATAAGTCCCCTACCGTTGAAAATTCTTGGACACGCTACTGCACTGCACTATTGGTTCGGAAACTAGTCTTTCGATTATCAAATTTAGTTACTAAAATATATTGTATTAACGGTCAGTACGATTATAATAATTGCGTTCGGAACATGGCTCGGCGTCATCGTGTACACGGACATAGTCCGTCGGAAGGTTACCGGACGCGATTCCGGGTGTTCGTAGCTGGTATATTATTATAAACCTATATTACGGACGGTTTTAGGGAAATTCGCGGTCCGTCGTCGTTTCACAATCGAAAAGATTATACTTACAATGGCATTCGACAACGATACTAATATAATAATATAGCAAAACTCTTATTGTGTACTCCGCAGGATGCAGTTTATTATTAAGGATTGTGTAAATATGATTGCATTTTATGAAAACGGTTTATCGATATGATATTATTAATTGCAGCCATCGTCTTGGATAAGGGTACCTATCTATACACACAACCAGAGACGAGGTCTACAATAATACTAATTATTATGTCATGAGATGTTGATTAAAAAGTGTACTATTCACAGAGCTGGGGCCGAGAGCAATAATGCAGTCGCAGGAAGTGACCGACAATGTCGCGTAGCCCGTGAGCGTTGATCGAGGGAAATTATTGCGTGGACTTAATATTTTTCTAGACTCTTTTCGAAAATAAAATTTCGACTAATACGGTTTAAATTGTCAATATTTGATTAACTTTGTCCAGAAAAGTATTATATATATTAAAACAATCGTAACGTCGTGCGATCGCGGTTTAAAACGCAATACTGCAGTTGCCAGTCGATATTCTGAGGTATGATAAAAATGTGATTTATGTAATATGTATGTATGTCTATCAGACTGAATCAGTCTGCCGTTGCGTGCGGAAAAAATATTTTGCTTTTTTTTTCTATTGTCCATATTATGAACGTGAAATTCTGTGAGAAGCCGATTTTGTTGCTGGTCTGACCGCGGCCAGATTTGTCAGACACGTAATCACGCACTGATATTAATATGATATCTTATAGTGATAACCTTACATTTTATATACGTACAACGCCTTTTCTCGAAAATTGTTGGTTCACTGAATTTGTTTTTTTTTTTTTAAACATTTCTATAAAATTAAAGCCGAACGGATTGGCGCGGTGGAGCACTGGGTATTATGCCTTTGAAACCCGGGAATTCGAACGTCGGATACGATTCTGTCAATTGTAATCGCGTTTTACGACATTGCACACCTATATACTATATTATACATACCTACCGCTACTATGTTATAGTGGTCCATTGTATAACCCGGTGCGGCAATGAGCTCGAATATATAGAAATATCCGTGCGGATACGAAGGTATCCGAGGGGGTGATGTGTACGTGTTTTTACCGTTCCGGTAGAAAGAAAAACTCGGAGGAAAAAAAGCAAATTTTTATTTTATTTTTTTTTTTTTTTCTAGATCCCGAACGTAGCAAGGAACCTATATTGCTTAATACATTATATGTATGCATATATATCTACTTACGACCGCGATAAAGTAACGGATCTGTTTTTTGACCGGTTACAGTACGTATATATATATATTATGGTGTACGTGTATCTATACGCCGCTCGGCACGCAATAATATGTTACTGTCAAACTAAAAACCATTTGTATAGTGTTATAGTGATGCAAAAGCGTATACCAAACGGCTCCTATTGTCAGTCGAACACACGTCATGAAGATTTTTCGGCCCGCGACGCGCGACGCGATGTCTTCGCGGGATACGACCGAGTATACCAGCTACTCTCCGAAGCCGAGACGAGTGGGGAGGTACCTTTTATATTTGAATAAATCGTCTCCGTTTCTTTTGTAATAATACAATATACGGGGTTGTGCGTCTTTTGATTATGTATGAGTCCCGCAATACAAATACGGTGTGGTTCAGGAAAAAGGTTTCCGATTTTAAAAAAAATACGAAAATTATTTATAATACTTTAACGACCCTCATAGTGACAATCCTTTTTCATCCATCTATATTGTCTATGCATATTCGAGGATATATCGATATTTTTATTAGAGAATTTTCAAAATCTGAGAAATATTTTCACGTGACATTTTTTTTTTTTTTTTTAGATGGCACAGCTTTTGGCTTTTGGTAGTTATAAGAAATCCTTAATATAAGGAATCCCTGAACTGTTTTTTAATACAAGACAGAAGTATGAAAACAATCGCGCGTACCTATCAGAAAAGATTTACAAAAATACCCGGTATACATAATAGTAATAATATTATTATTATCATAACGTGCGGTGGAGCCCATCTCAAGTCCGTGCATTTGCATGCCGACCTAGCAAAGTGTATTATAAATAAAATACTTAGAACATAGAGGTGTAACAATATAAAAATATTCGTTTTAAGATGACAGCGGCTGCAGGATTTCATTTTGCATAATATATTAAATAATATACGGTTTCACTACGTTTATAGTATCACGTTTCGGAGTTTTCGGCATAATATCGTGATATATCTAACCGTTCTATTTGAATAGAGTTTTAATTTTGAATTTAAATTGGTTGAGTATGGCATATTGCTAATATAATTTCGATGTAAAGTACGAATTGGGTTCTATCGTTAGAGCAATTTGTTTGGAAATTTCGAAAATACCGTCAAAAATGTTTAATAATCAATATTGATACACGAACGTGAACATAATATACAATATTAGTACCTAATCCGAAATCGATATCGTTTGATTATGTTACAATATTGCCCAGTGACGTATTTAGAAGAAATTTAATCATTTCTCGATACTTATACAGGTCATCTTACAATTTTATCTGAATGCTTATGACTCTTTTAAAGTTTATTTTTTTTCTTCAATCGGATTTTGTGTAAGGGGGACACAAGTACGGAGAAAAATTACATTTTTATTTTCATACTTTAATCATTGAAAAAAAATAACTTTAGATTAAATTACTCTGTCTCACTTTTTCTATAAATTAAAGCCTCTATGATAAGAAACTACTAATCGGATATGAAATAAAATTTTAAGAATAATATATTTTACAAAATTGCTAGTTTAAAAATGTTTGTTTTCAGCGATCAAGGAATAAAATTAAAACTTAATTTCGCTCTATATTTATGTCCCCCGACACAAAACACGATCGATAAAAAATTTAATATTGACATAGTCATTAGCATTCGGATAACACAGCAGGTTGCCATGTATAGTAAATTAACACATCCTGAAAAACTTGAATGTTTATAATACTCTTGTTTAAAACAAGACTCATTAGAATAGGTGAAACAGGTTAAATGTAAATAAAAATTAATTTTAATAATTTATACATTTGTATAAGTAATTTATAGTTCAATCTACCCTAAAATTTGGTATGTATCAATAAATTTGTATAATCAAGTAAGTAATTATTATATTGGTTCAAATATAATAGGTTTCGTTTTAATCAAAAGAATGTATACTGGTACCTTCGAGTTTTTTTTTTATACATAACCAAATAAATAATAAATTAGTGACACATTAAATTGTAAATTTTTCTCATTACAAGATTAAAAAGTAAAGATGTATAGGATTTAAAATTGGTTAGTCGTATAAATAATACTCCCTATTTGTGTACATAAGTATATCTCCCTAATTTCCTTGGTTATAACATGAAGGAGGTTAATGTACACCTAAATAAACTATAGTGCAATGTTATAAATTTGAGGGCAAACTGAATCATTAAAAAAATGTAAATAACGTGTAACTCAAAATTATATAGGCACATAGTATACGATAAAATGTTCAGCGTCTTTTACTTTGTTGACAATACTATAGAATATACTACACCACTGATATGTAGGTGTGAGCTGTATACTGATAGAATACGTATTTAAAGGACCGCGCCGCGGCTGTTTAACGATCTGAGAGAAATATATTATATTATTGTATTGTGTTTTTTTTTCTTTGTCTTTCCCCCCCCCATTTTTTAAACGATGCCTTTGTGCGTATAATATTATATCATAGTGTATGGCGCGCGGCAAAGGACCTTTTCTCGGTACCGCCAAGCTCGATGTTCTCGCGTATAGCGTTTTTATTATTTGCATTTTTCACACACACACAATCACCACTCGCGTATTTGTATAAACAAACAATAATAATAATATTATTACACGCATAGCCAGAATATTTTGAACATTTTACCACATCTAGAAAAGTGTAATACAAGTATTCTATGAAAATTTCAGTTCTCTACGATAATTTTCAAGTGGTTGCACAACAAAAAATCGAAAATAATAAAATCAAACCATTACAACCGTAATTGCAATATTAAAACATGATTAGATCTAAAATGAAATAAAAAAATATGACTTTTTTTTTTAGATAGGAGCGAGATTTCTGGAAAAAAATTTGTTTACAGACAGAAAAAAATATTCACACATCATAGTAAAACCAATAGATTCCTCGTTACGCTCAGAATTTCAAAAATAATACCATGTTAATATCACGAGTGTCTAGACTTGTTGAAAAATATACTATCCAATAAGAATCAACCTTTTTATGTGACGAGAGGAAAAAGCACAAATACTAAATATATATTTACTTTTTACACATCAATACGTCATCACCTGCACTCAACAAACGAGACAAATTGCATAAAACGCATTACCTCGCCGTACGTTATTTACAGCAACTAAACATATGTAATATTAAATATTTATTTTGAACGTATTTTTTTACTAAACGATATGACAATATTTACGTTCGATTAAAAGCAAAATTATTTTACTTTAACGAGCCAAAAAATATGTCGACGTTGAGAGAGATAAAGAGATTATATAGACCCAGCGCCGCGTTAACAAAAATCAACGATAGTGTGTGATTTTGCGATTTTTAGACGTGCAAATTTACCTACTGAAAAATGTTATCTATTGTTGTTTTTTCCTTTCAAATTAATTACTCGTGATTAATTTGACGATAATATTAATATAGTCATGAATAATAAGTATAATAAAATTATAAGAAGAATAGAATTATTTAAAAAGAATTATTTACTTTAAATCAGTTAAATTATTTAAATTATTTTTGTCAAATTAAAAATCAAACTATCCATTGTCTGTTCAGTAATCTAAATGCCCAAAATTAGTGAAGGAGGGTCACGTCACTCACACCCGCCCCATGTACCACTTCAATCTCCGGCCTTGACGATAAATCGTATTTGTTAATTTATTCATATTTTGTAATGGCAATGGGTCAACTGTTTGAAAATCACGTGATCGAATGCCGTGCATTGGAACGTCTAGAGTGTTCGAAAGGTCATACGCACAAATTTTTCATAAAATACATAAACATCGCAAATTTTGAAATTCAATCAAATATTTTAATCGAAGTTTTGATTAAAAATGTTAAAAATCGTAAAACGTATAATATATACCTATTTCTCAATATTGTAAATGCTAATTTTATCCACGTTAAAAAAAAAAAAAAAAACAAAACGTATTGGCACTGATAAAACGATAAACGCAAAACGTCACTAAAGATAGAAATGTATACTCTTAAACCCAATATCATAACTGTATTAGATAATATCGTGGTTCCCAATAAATTATGGTCCACGGACCACGGGTAGTCCGACGCTCCCTTTTGTAAAAAATACGTCGCACAAAACGGAATATTAGACGAGTACCTCCTATACCTACGCCATAATCGAAATACCCATACAAACTTACTAGCGTTGAAGTTGCGTATACGTATACGAAAACGGAGGATTTCGAAAAAGTATTATAATAGTATCACCGTCGGAGTGGTAAAACACGTTAAAAAGTTCGCAACAGGTATAAATCTGTCCGTTTTTGCTATACCTGCGTAATAATAATTGCGGCGCATAAAGTTTACGTAGATTTCGATTATTAATTTATGTGTACGATCCGGTCGGCGGCGCATGCGACTTTATAATAATAAGTATTACTAAAACGCATAATTATTATACAGTTCGTTTCGGTGTACTTGAGCAGAAGAAACGGTATCAGTCGGTATAGTATGTATAGACACACAGTAAACCACTCGCGTTTCGTTTGATATTAGTACCCGGTCGCTGTTTTGTGTTGAATAATGTATTAGTCGGGTAAGTACGCGCGTACATACATATATACATATACACGCGGAAGAGGACGTATGTACAATAATAACGAAATAGCGATAAAGGAAATGTATTATAAGCAAAACTAATTGGGGATTCGTAACAATCGGCGGGGGAAAGAAATGCGAGAAAGAAAGAAACCGTACGCAAAACTGTAAAGTATAGAAATGGGCGTTAAAAAAAAAAAAAAAAAAAAAAAAAAACCCCGGGAAAAAAA